CTCTTTGTGTGTATGTGTGTCAGTGAAAACAAATACTATCACTATATCAGTTATAATATGAAATGCAATTACTATAATATCCTCTAGATGGTCAGTAAATTGCCATAACCAAATAATGTTCTAATAATCGATATCTATCCAAGGTAGATGATAATTACTCTTCTTGTCTATCTTTGTGTTTATCTAACAATCGATAGATAAATAGAACAAAATGACACGCAAACACATGTACAAACAGAAAGGCATTCATATATATATAATCAATCTCTCTCTCTCTTTCTCTCTCTCTCTCTCTCTCTCTCTCTCTCTCTCTCTCTCTCTCTCTCCTCTCTCTCTCTCTCTCTCTCTCTCTCTCTCTCTCTCTCTCTCTCTCTCTCTCTCTCTCTCTCTCTCTCTCTCTTTGTGTGTATGTGTGTCAGTGAAAACAAATACTATCACTATATCAGTTATAATATGAAATGCAATTGCTATAATACCCTCTAGATGGTCAGAAAATTGCCATAACCAAACTCTCTCCTCTCTCTCTCTCTCTCTCTCTCTCTCTCTCTCTCTCTCTCTTTGTGTGTATGTGTGTCAGCGAAAACAGATACTATCACTATATCAGTTATAATATGAAATGCAATTACTATAATACCCTCTAGATGGTCAGTAAATTGCCATAACCAAACAATGCTCCAATAATCGATATCCATCCAAGGTAGAAGGGAGATTTGCATATACCCTAATTAAAGGCATTATGTGCACTCCTATAACACAGGCGAACACAGGAACATAGCGCTTGTCATCTCCCCAATTTCGCAAAAAACAACCCTTTTTCTATAAAGCGGGATAACACAGTATTGTTCTTCCATGGGCTCCTCTTTTTTAAACACGGGAATATAACATTGTTTCGCCACGATCTCATATTGGTCTGATGGCAAATAGAGCATCATTTACCCCGAGAATTTGCTTACCTATAATATTTTGATGTTTTCCATAGCCAGCACAGTATCATTTCCCCTCCCCCCTTGATACAGAGTTCACGAGTCGTCCATGGCCAACACAGCAAGAATTTTGCTTTCCCATAGCATCCTTCATCCCTCTATGCCGCACTCACTATTATCTCCCCAAAACCCCTTTTCTATAAAGCAAGGGAAAGCTTTGCCCCCCCCCATTCTCTCCCTCATACGCCCACAACGCTCGTCACTCACCCATGCCAGCTTCAGCATTATTAACCCCAAGAAGTTCGCCTATTAACAGCATCCTTAACTCTCCCATGCCGAATTAAGCATTACTTTCCCACGATTATTCCCCCATTTGTCTAACTCATCGTTATTTCCCTAAGAGCTCCCCCTTTACTATAGAGCAAGAGAAAGCTTTCTTTCACCCCCACGAATTCTCTCCTCCTCCCCTTCCCCCCCTCCCCCCCCCATACCGCACACAGCATTATTTCCCCAAAGCTTCGTTCCCTATATGCGCCTCGCCAAGCTTCCTCTAATGACCGGGTCGTCGCGAGTCATTAGACGAAAGCCTCGCCCTGCTAGTTCCGGGCCTTCAGACACTTTTCTCACACCCTCCGTGCCGTATTTTCGTTCCCCTTCCCCCCCCCTCCCTCTCTCTTTCATTTCTCGGCCTCGTGTCTTTCTCCGCCTCTCTCCCTTCTGCTCGTTTTGCTTCGCTTTGTTTCGTTCTTTGCTCCTTCATCTTGCATATTGTCTGTCTATCCTTCCATTTGTCTGTCTATTTACTGATATACCTGTGTTTATCTTTCTGTTTCTATCAACTTATTTATCTATCAGTTTATCAACTCCCTCTCTATCTATATCAATCTATATATCTATTATCTATCTATCTATTATATCTGTCTATCTATCTATTATATCTATCTGTCTATCTATCAATATGTCTGTCTGTCTGTCTCTCTGTCTATCTATCTATCTCCATCTCTATTTATCTCTGTATATCTCTGTCTATCTATATCTCTATTTATCTTAATATATCTCTATCTGTCTAGCTCTGCCTATCTCTATCTCTATCTGTCTGTCTATGCGCGCACGCGTGTGTGTATGCGCGTAAGTGCGTTTGTGTGCGTGTGTGTAGGGGGGATAAACGAACAAACGCACATACCTCCATTCGTACACACACAAAGCACAGCACACCTACGCAGCAGCCAGCCAATTTTTCCCTCTTTCTTTGTCCACCTCAGTTCGTCTTCCGGCAGCCCCATCTTCCCTTTCTGGGAAACTCGTAACCGAGTCCCAATGAACTCCGTTATGTCCTTACATGGCCCTCAACTTCATATTACATAGAGCCCAACATTTTCTACTTAATGAGCCCATTCTCTCCCTCACCGCTGCTGGTAATTAGACAATGCCTCGCCTCGCTCTTTCTTTTTCTTCTACGTCGTCTTCTGCTTATTTCTTTCTTTCTTTTTTCATTGTATCTCATTTTTCCTGTTCTTTGCGTTGCTTATTGTGTCGTGGTTGTGTCCTTGGTTCCCCTGTAAGTGAAAAAGAAATATTAAGAAAATAGATAATTTTCCTTTTTTCTGTTTTATATCTTACGGTGGTCATGGTAGGAGAGCCTGCTTATAAAGGTCTTTTTTCCATTGGCTCTTCATTGTTTTCATCACCATAAAAAAAGGTAAAAATAAAAGGGTGAAGCGCACAACGTAATGAGAGGGGGCCTTAAAAGTGCATTTCTTTCATGAATCATCTAAACCGGAATTTTTCCTTTCTCTTGGAGGCGAGGAGGACGAATATCCGATCCTTAAGGTGTCTTTCCTCAGCCAGCAACAAGTGCCCTGACGACGCCATCAGCTATATTCA